TCTGAGTATGTAGTAATAGTGTCACCACCATGGTCAACATACATGGACGTCCATGAGACAATAACTTGCCACTATGTGTTGCTTGTTTCCTGGCAGGTCGACATGTCCATGTCACGACAGTCTCTAATATGAGCGTCCTTTTTGTAAACACGACGTCGCTGTCATCCGCGAACACTCCCTTTCGGAAACAGCATTCAGCCTTGACATTGAATGGTTGGAACAGTGGTCAGCAATTTCAATGTCCACTATATGGGTCCTTTTTTTGAGTACCCCTCTTTTGGTGTTGTAAAAGAACACCAATAAGACACCACCATTTCTGCGGGGGGTGGTTAAAAGACTACACAGCCATACACTGGGTCCAACATTGAAATCCATTCCATGTCCTAAGGCGTTGCTCAAAGGCCCCATCGAACTTGCGAGACGTTTTGGCCTCATTTGAAAGGATGCCGTGGACAAGCTCATTCCAACCAACGCCAGCTGCGAGCCTTTGCTTACGGTGGCCGCCTGAGGTAGGTCGATCGATTCTCTTTGTTTGGTTTCTTCTTCTGTTTCTGTTTCTGCTTCTGCTTCTGCTTCTGCTTCTGCTTCTGCTTCTGCTTCTGTGTCTGGTTGTGGTTGTGGTTGTGTTTGTGATTGTGGTTGTGGTTGTGGTTGTGGTTGTGGTTGTGTTTGTGTTTGTGTTTGTGTTTGTGTTTGTGTGTGTGGTGTGTGTGTTTGTACGTGTGTGCATGTGTGTGTGTGTGCGTGTGTGTTTGTTTTTGGAGGGTACCCTTTGGGGTCTCCCAGTTTTCCCGCACTTGAGGTGCTGCTCGAGCGCCCGCAGAGGAGGGGACGACCGCTGGTTCTTTTTCCCTGGGTTGTCTCACCCTGCTGGTGCTCAGGGAATGGGAATGAACCCAGGGGTCCCCTGAAAAGAGTCCAGCAGCTGGGTTCTTTTCGTTCTTTCTTTTTTTCGGGGTCATTCCATTTCTCATTCCCTGCCTATCGCACCAGCAAGTTACTCCCTGAGTTCCTGGATTGTGTTTTTTGGGTTTGGACCAGTTTAGTGGTAAACACCAACTTACTCAAAAGTTTGTTATTCAAAGCGAATCCCCATTTTTGCGTCAGATTGTCATGGAGTTCCTGGCGGCGGGGGAACTACGGAGAATCGGGTTTTCTTTTCCATGATCCGGTCAGAAGCAGTCTCAATTGGGGCCGGGAGCTTGACCCTCAAATTTCCAAAGATGAGCTTGGGTAATGTGAACCCCTGGTTGATTAATAGGGGGGTGTCCCCTTTTAGTGGGGATTCATCACTTTTGGAGAGAACACCGCCCTCATTAATGGCACGGGTTTATGCATCCTGGGTCAACATTATGAACCTTTGGCGGGCATCATTTCAACGGAGTGCTTTGTCCGCGGACCAATTTGGAAAGCATTCAGATTTCATAGGCAGGTGAGTCACAGTCGAAACCCCAGGTTAGTTGCAATTTAGGGGACAGTGACCACAAATAGGCTCCCACCTTTTGATTGCTTGCATGGTGTTGGGTTGACTCCTTTGATACCGGCTTTTTGCAAAGACCGAGGTGGTTTTTACCTACCCGTTTGGCGGCTTGAAGTGAGCTTCTTCGGGTCGGGACACATGTGGCGAGACATAGGGAGGCCTGTGCAGCCTGATATACCTCACCTAGGCGGGTTGTCGCATGTGTTTGGCAAGAGCAAAGAGGGTGCTTCCTTCATCACTGGACATCGGATCACAGAGGGCCGTTTCCTTGTGTTTGAAAACTGACGTGTCATTCTGCTGTGCTCACAGATACTCAACTGCCCGAAGCCCCGACGTTTTTCATCCTTGGCAATCAAAGGGCGAAACTCCGGCCGCACTTCCAGGCCAACTCGGCGCCGGTCCTTCCTGTGACGCGCGCACGCCTGTCTCACCGGCTGGGGGAGCTTTTGTGCACACGGCTCGATCGCAAGATCAAAGCGCATCTGGTTTCTCGCCCTGAAAGCTGGCTATTGAAAGGACACCAAGTATGCTCGAAAGCGACCTGGCCACCAGACAGACACGGGTAATACGTTCGCCATTCTCGCAAATCCGTCTAGTCGTTCCTGGGTTAGACAGCCAGCAGAGCCAGCAGGGATGTTATTTCATAGCACTTGTAGCCCTCAAACACATCCTTGAATACGATGAGTCGCAAAACTTGATGTTGTTTTTCTGGTAGAGACAGATCACTCGTTGTCCAAAGATCACCTGAACACAAACATTGATTCAAGACTACTTCATTGCCTCCGGCTGACGCGACTAGCGTTCAAAAGGTGGCAACACGTGTCTCGTTTGCCCTATTGTTTTCCCGACTTGTCTCGAACTAGTGGTCGAAAAAAACCTGGTGGGTTTTTGTTTGGTTTCCCTCTGAAACCACCAAAGAAGGTTCTCTCGCAAAAACGACACACCTGGGTGAATTCATGCAGTTTGAGGGACGAGCCAACAATATATTTTTTGAGGTTTCCAAGCTCCAGCCAGTTCACTCGATGGGTCAAAGCAATGATTTCACTCGCTCATTGTTCACACTGGTACTTAAGCACCACTTGGGTGTGTCAAGATGATTAAAACCGGGGACCTCCACAAATGGTGTTTTTTCAAAGAGTGCCCGTTGCCGGTCGGCAAGGTGCAGGTTCAAGTCCTGCTGGTCCTAGCCTGATGAGCTCACTTTGTCGCACTCATGCTTAGTTAATCCGTCGACATTTTCAACAATACATATTATCATTCGAACTCCGTGCCAATCTCTCCAGGGCCACTTTCCCATTGGTTTCCCTTAAAAATGGGTACCAACTTAAAACACGGCCAGCCACTTGGGCTTCAGAAAGCATCCCTTGGCGCTTCCGAGTCTCGCCGAGCTCTGAGCTCGCGCCCCGGCGACGCGAGAATGGAGCGCCTGCAAAATATAGGAGGGGTCAAAAGGACCACAGGGACAAATATGGGTACCCTTGTTTTATTTGTTTTAACTGCCATACCCTTGTTGTTGTTGTTGTTGTTGTTTTTTAAAAGGGCCATATCCCTGGGTGTTTGCTTAAAGTGCCACAGGAAATGGTGCTGAATGGGTGCCACAGGAAACGGAGCAGAATGGGTCTCCCGGGTATCTTATTTGTAGTATATTGGGTCACGTGCAAGGGGACGAACAGGCGCCAACGAAAGTTCCTGCCTGAAGAATGAATCTAGAATGGTTCGTTGCCCAAAGGAAACTACAAGGGGACAGATTTGTTTTGTTGTTTGGTTACTGAACCTTATTGAACACTCGAAAAACACCCACCACTTGCGTGCTGATTGGTTCCGTCACTGATGTGTGTGTGTGTGTGCATTCATAACCCCGAGCTTGAGCGCGGAATTCCGCAGTGAGATGTGCCTAGCTGTTGGCATCCCGGGCCCCGTGCTTTCCCAAACAACCATGTTCTACCGGATTTGCCTGATGGAAAACTCCAACAGAGTTTGGCAAATTTGATGGCTTTGTTACGCACCATGCGCGTCATTATTTGCGTTGGTCACCTTACCCAGATCATCACGGCCTTTGTGGATGAGGGATCCATCGAAATGTCCAGGAAGGACCCACAGAGATATGGCATTTAATTGTGTTTTGCTTTTGGAATCACAGGACGCAAATCAGCACCCGGTCACCCCTTCCCCTTTTGGTGAGAACTGCCGCAATCAGCTTTTCGGCTGCAAGCTGCGGCCTGTTTAAAGCGTTTCGGGGCAAAGACGCCTGAAACTCTGACCCAGTCAGGGCGCTTGCAGGATGCGCAACCTTTTGAATCTGTGGAGCAAGCCAATGTGAAGAAGCGGGTTTGTTTGATCCTCAGGTCTCACAAAAATCTGGAGGCGGTCAGATGCCCAAAATGTCTAAAACCGTTGACATGCAGCCCGGAGCACCTCAAATCGATCCCCTTTTAACCCATGGAATGCGGGTGCTGCGCATGGCTTTGACATGGCCTCGTGCCCGCAGGGCTCCTCGGAAACACGCGGAAACCCCGCGCGCACCCGGGTCGCCCCGGACCCCGGCTTGGTTCGAGGTTTAGCTTGGTTGCTTCGCCCCTGGTAAGTGGGGTTTTCAACCGACAAAGTCACTTTCTCACCTGACAGCGGTGGAGATGCGGTGTGTGAACCTTTCAGACGAAAATGTATTCCAGACAGAAGTGAGAACGGGAAATACTAGGGACGGAGTTGTTCTATTGACAGAACTTTGGGCTTGGGGCAAATTGATCTCACAAGCGAATCAGACGGGCGTTTCAAAGGTTTGCCGCCAGACCCATCATAGACCATACCCTTTGGGTAAACTCGACCAAGCTGTAAATTAGAGATAAAAATGGCTACAGGAGCTTTAAGAAGTCATATGAGTGTTGTTAAGGTCTCGTCTAGGGAAACCGCTGAATGCTAGGGCTTCCAACCCTCATTTCCTAGTTGTGAGCTGGTGAGTGTGCCCAATGTCATCCCCTTCTAACTTCAGATGTAGCTGGACGATGACAATTGCTTGAATTTGCTACTGGACAACAAATATAAGTTGCTTTCCGCGGGAGGGGGGGACGCATATCAAAGGTCAGGTTTGCGAGATGGGGGCAAATCAAGTGAGACAAAGTTGTAAGGTTATTGCATGGTTGGTTCGCAAATGTGTGCGATTTATGTTCCCGTCAGGCCCCTAGTTCCGATGACAAGTCCCCTAGTTCCGTTAAATGTGTTTGTGATTTTGAAGCAGCGGGTGAAGGGACGAAATCCTGCACCAGCCAGGCATTGCTGAAACCCTATGAAGAGTGGGACAAACCACAGGGCCTATCAGGGCCTTGACATGGCCAAGCCGGCGGCTGTTGGATGCACTTCCGCTCTCAGTCGGGAAGGTTCATTGGATGTGGCAAAGCCCCTGATGGGCCGGGAGAGGATGTTGGGCCAGAACACCTGAGGTTCAACTTGGTTGAGACAGGCATGCTCCCCTGCAAACGAACATGAAACCCCAAAAGGGGGTCTAGTGTCCTCTACAAACAATGCCTTTTGTTGGTTCCACGCCAATCTGCCGGGTGTCGTAGTGAACCCCGGGAGACTGGCAGGAGTGCACGTTGCACAGCAGCCAGACAATCTCTCGGTCAGGTGATGGGTGCTTGCTGCTCTGAAGTCGAGCAGGCGTGGAATAGATTGCACGACCACTGAAGAACTTCAAGAGATTGTGATGTTGTTGCTTTCTCTAAAGCAGGGTTCGACACTTCCTCTGGAAGTGGGGTTGTCTCATGTCAATGAAGCTTATATGCAAGCGAGGATGGGTGCCGAATATCCCATCATCACGGCAAACAGTGACCCCACAAGAAGGCTTGCCACCTCACGCATGAGGTGGGTTCTTGCTTTGGGATGCGTATTATTTCAGGCGGTGAATTTGCAGAATGCGACATATTAAGCAATGTGTGCATTCTCACCCCAAGCTGCTTAAGCTTGAGTTCAATCTTAGTTGTCCATTGCCGACCTTTTGATCTCTTGCATGCCCATGTTTAAACAAAGATGGGTGACCTGTTGATATCTTGGTGACCTGTTTATCAAAGGAAGTGAGAAGGGATGCTTCATAGAGGTCATTCCACTTCTCATTCCCTACTGAGAACCAGCAAGTTATTGGCCGCCCTTTGTGCCAGACTCTGGCCGCTTTCCGCGCCAGGCGCCCAGCGGAAAGTTGCCCGCGCCCGTGCCGACACTTCCATATCAAGGCCGCCTTGGCTGCACGGCGTTTGTCCTTTGGTGCCTTTGTAAGCTTAGGCCAAAGGGCAACCATGCACCCATTTGGGGCTTCCCCATTTGGAGAACCCAATTTGGCCCCTGTTGGGAGATTCCGCAAGGTTTCGTGACAGCCCGAGTTTCAAAGCGTTGGGGGACTCCTTTCCAACTGGCTTTGCTTGGCAGATCAAGATAATATGGAGGTGTCGCTTGAAGATAGAAGTAAACCGGAATTCAGCCTATGTGATACACTTGTAACGCTTATGTGTATACAAATTGTGTGTCTGTATATGTTTACAGATTACGTGTAGATAGACTATGATTGAATATTATGGCGTGCATACAGCTTGATCAGGGACCTCAATCTCACTGTGACGAAGCGTGGGCAACTTGGAACAAGCTGGTGCTGAACGAGCTCAGCCTTGAAGCAGGTTTCTTTTGTGGCGGATGCCTGAATTCCAATCGGAATATGTGTAATTCGAATCGAACCCTTGTTGGGACTGGCTGAGTTTTTGTTTTTTACTTTGCCGGGAGAATGCCAGGCCAAGATGAGAACCGCTTGCCGCCAGCTGCTCCGCTCTACAATGTTGAGGAGGCCGGCAACTCTTCTCGCCATCGCTTGAAACCTAAAACAATGAGCAAACCAAAGGAGTTCGCAATTGGTTATGGCTTCCATTAGCTTCCCTTCACCCGGGGCCAAAATTCTACCCCATGGAATTTGAAGGCACGTAAGACCCTGGGACAAATGTTTCTTCGTGTGTTTCAGAAAGTCACATTGCCATTGCAGGAAGTTTGAAGCAGGCGGAGCATTTGCAGTGTTGGCTTTTTGTCAACTGGCAGCACAGATCCACACTCCCAACGCTAAGCAACCCTGCTGCTTGTCCGGCGATTGAACAGATCAGCTTGGGTCCCGAGGCACAAAGCTTTGCGCATTAGGAAAATCAATTGGCTGCTGGCTTAACGAAAAGTAAATGACGACTTGGTAAGTGGAACCACAACTAAAACCTGCGTGACCTTAGCTAGTGAATTTTGAGCCACACTCAGTTGTTGGCTTACATGAGCCGAAGCTGGCATTTGCATGTCACCTATGCGAGACCAGAGAGCAAAGAGATGAGTCCAGGCATTCCTTTAAGCGGTATGGTTCCAAGAGAGGATGCGCCAGATTGTCCCAAACAAGTGCATGAGATAGACACATTATATGGATGCAACAACTGGCACGTTGATGGCTCATTGCGACCACCAAAGCCAACTGTGGTTGGATGGTGGGAAAGCATGGGAAAGCATTACGACAAGCCTGGACAGCAGAAAAACGGCGGGCCTGTATCTACAATTACATCCCGCTGCCTGCGTTTCTTCGGCCCACTTTTCTTAGGCACAAGGCTTCAAACTTCTGAGCGAGCACAACATGAGCAAACCGGTGATGCTGGTCACCAACACATGCAAGAGCAACCGGCAATTCTCTCGGACACTGGCTATATTAATATATACATAAGTCAAAACTAAGGGATTCTTAGAAAAGGAGTTCGCGCAAATCTCATGTCAGGAAATCGTGGTGACAGTTGATCTGGGGGGTAATCGATGGCCTCGTTCACGTACTTCCAGCCGCATCCTGGCCATTCTGTTTGGGGACTCTGTTCGGAAAATGCCCAAGCCCTCTACGCAAATGACTGGTGCGTGAAGAGAGTGGCCGGTGAAATGAAAAGGGAATCCTCGTTGAACTTCTGGTTGACAAAGACCTACTTGGATGTGTAACCCACAGTTAAAATATAGTTGGCCATGGGTATACAGGAGCCAATCATTGTTGTCCCATGTACAGCCATGGTCATGTCCTACGAAGGGGAGTTGTTTTGCGCATCGCGCTGTCAGGCCGTCCCCGACAATGTGGAAGGAGGCCGAGTGGGGTTGCCATGAGGGGTGAGGCGGCGTGCATTGTGCTCTGAGTGTTTTGTCGGTTTGCGATGCGAAGGGTTCCTTTACTGAAGTCTTGGGTCCATGTCTATCTCCAATTTAGTGTTTTGCTTTTGAATGCATCGGAAATTGTTATTCACCCAACTTCATCCTTTCACAATATGATGGGCCACTTTTGACATGGATTCATTTGTCATCGATGTTTTGGCTTGTTGAACTTCACGGAGGTTGCCAGGATGGTTGGCTCCTCTTTGCTCAGCTCGGCTCGCATCAGAAGCAGTGAGACAGGAGACAGAGAAAGAGAAAGGGAGAACAAAGGGAGCAAATGGATGGGGAACTGTATGCCCAAGAAGCTCAAATCTTCTCTCCCCTTCCCCAACCTACTCAAGGACACCTCCGGAGCAGCGAAGCAAAGGAAGGTAGCTGGAACACTTTGCCAGTGCGCTGCATCCCTCTCTCCCTTTTTTCCTATCTCCCAAGACAAGGGCCCCGTGACCCCGCTAACCAGTCTCTGTACGTGCTTGTCCCTTCCAAAATCACATAAGTAGTGGCAAATAGAGGGATTTTGGCCACATCTCCATTCACACTTCTTTGTTGCCTAACCTCGCCTTTCCCTTTGTTGGCGAGGAGAAAGGAAGAAGTGAGTGATGACCATCTCTAGCATGCAAGCAGTGGCCAGTGGGGAGGAGTAAGCAGCGGCCAGTGCATGATGTGACCTTGCCGAACCCTCATCCATTCTTCTGAAGCAAAATGCTTACTGCTTCCTGTGTTTTGTTGGCCCCTCGGGGATGTATGAAAACCAGCACGAGGACCCACTTCTAGGCTGGATTTGTCAATTGAGCGACGTTCTAAAACCCCTGCACTTGAAAGTAGTATTTGGGAGGAAGTATCGTTTTCAAAATTTTGACTTTTCTCAGGTCGCAGAAGCGCCGCGCAAGGTTCGCCGAAGGGGCTTCTCAATTATGTACCCGCGGAAGCTTCGCGGAAGGGCTACGGTTCAATCACGAAAGCACGAAATTGTAGTTTTCCTTCACGCACGGAAGCGAAAACTAACTTCAATCTCGTTTCTCAATCCGCGGAAGCGACGCGGATGCGATTCCCTCTTCAAACCTCTTGCGGAAGGAACCTTTCACGCCGCGCAAGCTCCGCGGAAGCCTTTGCGGAGGGGATTTGATATATTTTTTTGGCCGCAACTGGGTTTAGAACACTGCTCAATTGACACCACATCGCCATCAACGAGTTGGGGGGCTTACAATCCATATTTGTCAGAACTGTTGGACCCTGTGAACCTTTGGCTTCCTTTCAAGACCGGCGCTGGAAGGGCCCCTTTGCTTTCTTTTCGCTCAGGTGAATGCGAAACGCAGGCGTGGACTCTGAGTTGCCTCGCTGCTGGTTACTTCGGGCAGGAACCATGAACCGCCGCGTATGAACCATGGCAACACAAGTTGTCAACGTGTCAAACATCTCGAGCATCTTGGTTTCCTAAACTTAGGGACGCCAGAGGCCCCTTTTTTTGAGACTACCCTTGGGTAGATTATAGCGATCGGACAAAGAGTTTCTTGCGCTTTGCAGCCTCACCCGTGAAGGTTCCAGTCTTCAGGGGCCGTGTCTATTTTGACCTTGGTGAACCATAATTTCACCAGGCTGTTTGATATCAACCACAACAAAACAAATGAGCCACTTTTATGGGGATCTACTGGCACTTCTCACGTTCCGCGAGCCTTTTCAGCCCCGGTCCCCCCTACTTAGGGTCTATTTTGTAACCTGCGTTTGGGGTATTGGGTTTCTTAGGGCCCTTGGCTGCAACATATACCCTACGTGTCGCGGAGCCAATCGCTCGCCTCAGGTCTCTGAGATGGTGGATGAGGTCACGGCGAAGGCCCAAAGACAGTTCCGTGTTTCATTGGATGGGTTTTGTGGGGTGCCGAACAAGTTTTTTGTGTGCTGACAGCAACTTGGGGGGGGGGGCGGGAACTCCTCACTTCCTGAGTTCCGTTTCAGACTTTGAAGACGTTTCTTTGGATTTTGGGTTACATTTCAATTGTAAATATAAACACGTTGGTCGTTGCTTTTTTGGGAGCAATCCACTCAAAAAGTGAGAAAGCGGGGTACTCCATTTTTTGCAGCCGGGTAATACACATGTACGTGACAAAGGGTGTAGGGAAATCCCGATTCCTGAATTGGTTGCTTGAAATTGGGCTTGGGGTACCCTTAAACAAGCGAATGGTACTGAAATGATACAGCATGTGGTATGTGTGCATAGAGAGGTATAGTTCCACAAAACGATCTGTCTTGAGGGCAATTGCCGGTTTTGGGGTATGAAAGTAGGGCCAAATTAAAGCCAAATAAGGCCACCGCCCACTTGGCTGGTTTTTTTGGGGGAGTCCAAACTCTAATCAGCGCGTGTCAGTACCGAGCCAAGGAGATAGGAGATTTCGAATCCGCTTTTGTTTACTGTATCTGCGTTTCGCTGTTAGCCGATTGCTTTGAGATTGAAAGAGCGATTGAGAGAGAGAGAGAGAGAAAGCAAACAGCAAAGACCTACCAGACAGATGGGCAAGGCTCTTGCAGTGCAGGATCATTGGTGTCAAATTTTGGTCAGTGTGGTTGAACACGGTTTCAGTTTGGTTGTAATCAAATCATTCACCCGTGCCCGTGTTCCCGAGCCATGTTGACTGTCGGATGTGTGGTTCTCCAGGTGCCACCCCCAGTATTTTTGGCCACCCAAACGAAGGTTGACCCTTCATTCCTTTTGAAACCAAATAGGAAGTTACCTCAAGCCCAAGCCACCAAACCAAGCCTCCAATTGGGGCGCATGTTTTTTTGGAGAGGTACCCCTTTTTGAGGTTCATTTACAGGGAGACCAAAGGGCAAACCACCATTTTGGGGATCCGCTGTTGTGACACACCCTAGGTTGAGGTGATTTGCTCCTCGAAGCCTCGCGAGGAGCAGCGGCAACAAGCCAAGCAGGTGGTCAAAGACTTTGCGCCGGGCTTGAATCGATCCCTCTGGACATCGTAAGAGCGCGCACTTTTGGAGGGGGTTCTGTGAGTACTCCAAGTGGCTAACATCCTTGGGCTCCAGGAAGCCACCAATATGCAACATAAGCAGGTCACGTTCCATCGGATAGGAAATGGTTGCTTCATTTGGTCCTGCGAATCAAATGCTCGGGTTGTTGTGTTGTGTGTGTGTGTAGGGGGGTGTGGTGCAAAGTTTTTGCCAACATTCGATGTCATTAGGGGACACCTGAATTTCGGTTGTAGCGCACATCGGGTAGAAGTTTTGCAGGGAGGTGTTCCGTATTGGCGGGAGAGACATGTACTGTAGGACCTTACCCAGAAACGTTCTCAGAGCCGTTTGAGAGCAACCCCTTCTACTGTTGTGAGAAGAAGGGTCCAAAGGGGAGCTTCTTGTGTCCCTGAGTTAGCTGTTTTGGCCTTTTGAGGTCAAAGAGATGGTCAAAGGCCGCAAGATGAATGCTGCGAGCTGAGAGGTAGCCGTGAGTTCCAAAGATTTCAAGAAACGAGGTTTGAATTTGTTTGGATGGTGTTTAAAGGGAAACGAACTGGACATCTACCGTTTTGAGGGTCACTCTTCTGAGAATCTGCAGGCTGGCAGGGAGCGGTGGAGCGAGAGAATTCGGCTTCGTTTGGCCAGGCCTACCTTTTGGTTGTTTTATACATCACCAGCAAATGTTCAAAGGAGAGATGCAGTTGGCATCCTTTGTGCGTCGCAACGCGCAGTTGCCATCCAGGTCATGACTCAGGCTGGCCAGCTGAAAAGCTGTCCGGGGAGCTCAGCATTGTGTGAGAGACGTGTTCTACTCGTTGCCATTTGTATGTCCTGAAATATGGACGGCATGGGGTGCACAAAACAAATTAACTTTATTGGCTGTGCGTGCCGAATCAAAGAACAAAGCCCCAAGCTTTCGGCGGATGACATGCTGTGGGCGGATGAGCCAGCGGAACATCGTTACGATATATTACGACAAAGTTCGGTGCAGGAGTTGGCCATCAGTACTTGCAGCAGCTCAGATATCGTTCTACTGGTTCAGGGCTTTGGGTTTGCTGCTGTCTGGCTGTGTCTTTATGAGAGTACCGGCTTTGGCGTTATTTTGAGCGCCCACTCTGGGAATCCCAGGTGTGGTGTCCCTGAACCGGAACTTGGATGCACTGAAAATCAAGGCTGGGGCGGGAGTCTCCCGTGCAGATCTTCTGTCAGCTTCCACGTGGAGGGCAAGTTGATCTTTGCTCCGATGTTCCCAAGATGGGACTACTTGGAAAGATCACTGCTACCATTGAGTCACCTTGAAAATTCTAGTGAACAGGATTTCTACATGGACTGGATACCCCGAACTCCTCTTTTGTGAGGCTACATGCTATCGCGAGCAACAAGGATCCCCAACAAATAGTTATCCTGTTCATGATGGGAGCGATTTCAGAAAAAGAACACGGGTGCTTTCAAGCAGCAGGGTCTATGTTTACTGCGTCGAGAGTGCTGACAAGATGTGTCATGGTGAACAAAGTCGTTCAAGCAGGTCTGTCGCGTGCCCATTTCCGTGTCAGGACAGCTTGTCAGGGGAAAAAAGAGAGTTCTGCGAAAGGGTCTTGCCAAATCAGTTTTAAACGAACACGTTCCTTTGCTAGAAAGGTGTGAGCTCTTTGCATCGCTTTTTGTTGCCTTTTGGAGTCCTGGTGCGTGCAGACTCACATGGATAACATGCAACCGAACACGCGTTGCTCTTAGAGGAACCTCTTCGGGGACTGCTCATTGTGGGGTTCATCTAGCATGGCGAGCTCTGGTTAAGCGAGCTCACCCATGAAGTGTCATTTCTGGTGATCTTCGCTCTAGCTTTTTGCATCATTCGGTCCTGCAACAGCTGGGATTGAAGCCCTATACTGGGACAAGCCACCTATCAACTGGTGCTGTATTTTGTTCGTCCACTGTAGCAAGTTGACTCATTCTCAGCCGGGAATGATCGACTGCCACCTATGAACTATATCTGTTGTTGGTTCCCTGACGGGGATGCCAGGGTTATTCCCAAAAGCAAGTAATTTGTGCAGAGTACTTGCTTATTCTTTGGGAAATGGACCTCCCAGCCATACCCTACAAGAACCGAAACAGTGATTGGTAGGGGTCATTCCCAAAATCCTTACCAGAAGAACCACCAAATAATAGCAACTCGGGATGAAGAACCCCGTGGTCGATCAACTTGGAGAAGCACCTCCCCGTTTCTCAAAGTGCCTTGAGTCAGGTAGGCTCCCAGACTCGCAGCATCGCCCTCCGGGACATCGATGAGATCGCAGCAGGTGGGCGCAAACAAGCTCCGAAGTGGGCATGTGCCCATGTGCCGTTTTGGGTGTTGCCTGCTTGGGTTGATTAAAGGCAAACCAAAAGGGAAATCCGCCAACTTGAGGTTCATGGAAATGCGTCGTTGTTGGAGTTGGTACGACATGTGGGTTGCTTTAGAGGAATCAAAAGGAACAATTTGCTGAGCGCGCCCATTTTTGGCCTGTGTTTTAGGGAAACCAAAGGTATCAAGGACCAGTTTGGAGTTTCCCGTAAGACCCGAATGGCAATGTGGCCAAGCCGGGTCTGCCCTTTGCCCACCGTTTTAAGGTGGGGACATTATGAATCCGAGCTCTGGTTTTGGCATGTTGGTTCCTAAATTTGGACGCAATTGGACTTGACTTGATGGTGAAGGGTTGTTACATTCGGAAATCAAGATCGAAAGTGTTGGATGCGATCAGACAGGCATCGCATGCACAAGAGAATGTCGTATCGACCTGGGACGAAAGGGTATCGAGGATCTGGAATAATCCTGGATCCAGAATACTTGTACGGAAATGGACCTACGGAATGGACGAGAGCCCAAAGATGTCTCCAGTGTCGACTCGGGCAGTTCCTCTAGTGTTGGCATGTTACTGGGCGACATATTAGCGAAAAGGGGTTCCAACTCACCAATGAAGATGCCTTTCACGAGGATCCCATATGAATGTTCATGTGGCTCCCAGATCTGGCTCCTGTCAATGGGAGCCTATGGGGAACATATATTATGGGTCAAAATTAAATCACCAGGGGACCGCAGATTTTGTCCATGTTTCCATTTACCAGGGTTCCATTTTGGGTACCTATTTTTGACCCACAGCCATATCAGGTGTCCTTCGTATTTCAGGTTGAGTTGATATTCGCGATGCTTCGCCGGAGTGCAGGAGCAGATGTGGAAGGCGCCGCAGCCAGTGTGGGAACAGCTAGCAGTGGGCTTCCTTGGATGTGCAACTCAGTAGGGCCTAGGGAATTAGAAAGGGATTGTGGGGCACTTGAAACCAGATTGAGTCATGACCAACGGGGACAAATGGCCATTTCAGTGAACATCCCAATCCCCACTAAAATAGATTCTAAAATGGGTGGAGCACCTACCCCAAAATGGGATCCCATTGGTTTTGACCCACAGCCAAATGTGCGAGTCACTCAGCCTCTCATATCACTTGGTTGTGTGCAGCCCAGAGGCAGAGCTTCCCTTCCATGAGACTCAAGCCAACGGCGTCTCTGCATGGTCTCCAAAGAGGACCTGGCCTTTGTCGGGATTTGTGTATTTCCGTTCAAAAAAAAACGCGGCATGGTGAGCTTCGCCAAAAGCGAGGCGGTTGCGTGGATTGACACCGACCACACCCCTGGGACCCCAAAACATGCACCAGGTGGCTTTATTTTTCGGGCTTGATCTGGGTGTGTTTGTTCTGCGGTTTCCAAGCGCTTTGCGACCTCGATCCCTGAGGCGATTTGGGAACAAACATGCACATGCTACAAGCGCATAGGATTTGCACGTTGGTCAAGAAGCAGGCAGGCATCAGCTGGCCCTTGTCGGAGCATCGCAGCTTGCATTGCATCTGCCTTTGAATGCTCATGCAAAGTGGAACCAGCCGTTCAAGCAAGCAAGCAAGCAAGCACGCAATGAAGCAACCTGCCACCTAGCAACCGATCAACCAAGCAACCAACCAAATTGACCAACCAGCCAACAAACCAGCCCGCCAACCAACCCACCCACCCACCCACCCAACCACCCACCCACCCACCCACCCACCCACCCACCCACCCCCATCACAAACTAACAAATAAGTAGTCATTATCAAATCAACCTGGTAAACACTATCTTTGAAAGCTTTGGCAGTCACTAAGTTCATAGCAAAAAAAGAAAAACAAAAAAATCATATTGCAAGTCAAACTGGCGACTTGAATGATATTGTCGTTTGTAGTCATCGGACATCTGACCGTCCAAGTCCAATCACCAGATCCAAGTTGCTTGGCCAACGTGCAGTTTGGCTGTGACAATCTCCAGTCGTTCGCGGCCATCTTCATTTCGGCCATAGCCTTCCCTTTGTTGCATTTTGCGGGGATGTTAGGACTTTAGCTTTTTGCCAACTAATGGGTTTTCCGAATTAAACCACTAAAAGTTAAACTAGTTTTTAGCAGGGCTTCGCAGATTTCGCGACCAGCCTTCCCTTTGAGGCATTTCCACCCCGTTGGACGAGCTCTGCGCCACGCTGATGCTCTCCGACGACCGCGGCTGGAAATGTTGGGTTCTACTTGGGTCAACCAACCCACTTGGCCATGGTTCAAAACAATGGTACCATGTTCGGATAGGTGCACGACCCATTTTAGACATTTTTTTTGTGGGGATTGGGGTGCGAGGTTTTGACCGATGGCCACTTAGTGCGCAAGGACATGATCTAAATCAACTGAGTACAGGGGTGGTCTAGAGGGGGTCGCAACTTCTTCCCCAGAAAAGGGGAACGCGTTTAAGTCTACCTTTGGGTCAAAAAAAAGAACCCTGAGCTTACCCTCCAAACACCAAACCTGACTCCAAGCCTCGAAGCTTGTCAACGATAACATGTCATTGCCAATGGTTCTTCTCTGGTTCCCTTTTCTGTTTGCCGTTCATTTTCTCTTTTTCTTTGGGGGCAGCGGCTTGTTTTGGGTCGGATCCGTCGCGAGGACTGCATCACCTTCCGCTTCGCGGATCTCAATGGCCGGGACCGCGATGGTTCATAGGTCCATAGGTCACAGGTCCGCAGGTCCATACGTCCATGTGCGTGTAGGTGTGTGTGTGTGTGTGTGTTTTGTTTTGGAATTACTGTGTTTTAACTATTAACTTGGTTTGAAGGAAAACCAGACCAAACACCTGTCCGTGTTTGGGGGGGCCCTATCTTGTCACATACGTAAATGTCCAGTCTGTGGTCCATTTGAGAGGGGCAAGAGGGCAGGGACTTTAAGTAGTCTACGATTCATGAGAAAGAAAAAAAGAAGAAGAAGAACGAAGCCCGTCTCAAAAGAAACACTGCCTCAGTTGGAACGGGGCTCGGTGGATGTTCAATAGTTCAGTGGTTTCATGATTCCGTTGGATGAAATAGTGTGATGCTTCCGACCAAGAGTTTGGTTGTTCAAGGTCAAAACTCCAAGTTCAGCAAACAGCTCGCTGCTGTTCAAACTCCATTGCTTTTTCTACCAGGGTAAGATCAAAGACTGAAGTCGTTTCACTGCCCAGGAAATCCAATTGTCGTGAAGTAACAGTGAAGGTTTGATGGCCATGTAGCAATGCAGAAGCTTGGGGACCTACTTTGAGTTGATGTTTGAACAAGTCGTGACACATGTGCATTTCCAAGTGCATCAAGCACATTGATGTGGGTGACGAAGGATGCGATGGCTCCAAGAGTCGAGCCATGACGCTATGGGCACACGCATGCCCAATGCATCTATTTCCCACATCAACCTCTGCTTCCAAGCAAGCGTTGACCTCAAGCAAATAGTTGCTTCTGGCTATTTTGGTCTCAAACGGGACACCCAGGGTAGTGCTTCAACGCGAGCCCTTTAGAGTGCAAAACCCCAATTTAAAATTGCCCTGCCCTGACAACCACAAAAAGGTCAACCACTAAAGGTGCGAGGTGTGTGGTCAAAAATGCTACCGTCCACTTCCTTGGGGTTAGTTAGTCGAGATGATCGTCAACCCTTTCGCAGTCGGGACTCAAGACAAGCATTATCAGGACTCCAAAGCAAACCATGGAAACCCATGATCCGAGTTTAAAACAAGCCTTTTGGCACTCCCATGACCCTGACTTTCGAATGCGAATCCGAGGCGCGGAGTTGTTCTTTTGGTTATTTGACCAGGGCTCGCAACCAGAGCTCGCGGCAGGACACCTTCGTCATGTGCTTACTCATGTTCTGCAACAGTCAGAAGTGAGAGCCGAGCTCGCGGACATAGAGCAGCTCCTTTTCCGCTCGAAAGAGTAGCTCTTTGGATGGATGTGGACCAAAAGAGTTTTGGAAGACATCCTCTTGGTTAAGGGCCCCTCCACTGCCCTGATTTTTGGAGAAAGGCTGCGATGTTGGTTTTCTACCCAGCCATGCCGTAAACGAATGACCTTGCCCCATAGGAAGGGCGCTGTCACAGGCTCCAGATCATTCTCGGCCACAAGCTTGTCAAGGAATGCCTGGGCACCTAGGATGAACAACCCAATTGTATGCAGGACACCTGTTCAATGAAGGTGTGAAGGATACCCTAAACAACCCTACACCCTAAACGTATGATTGCATACCTCGTGCTGCGCAGCTTGCGCCGGAATCTGTCGCCGTTCCTTGCGTGGATGGTTAGGGTGAATACCCCAAGACATGGAACCTGAACCGCTCACGTTAAGGAACCTATCTCAAAAGGTTTTTCCTGTTCAGCTTGTTCGGTTGCAAAACATATCGGCCATTTGGAGGATCGAAAGGATCTCCGGTTGGGCTTGTCAAGTTGCACAACATAGTTGAAGGATGACGCCCTTGAATCGTAAGACGGTAAGACGGCCAGGGGGAAAGGACAGAAGCCATGCTCGACGAGGCGACCTCGAGATGGCCCTGTGGTATTTGGGCATCCCTTGATCTTGTAGGCAACGGGCGCCCGGCAGAGAATGTAGGGCATGCGCATGCATGCGCTCCAGGCAAGCCAAGGCGTAGCCGCGTAGCCAATGCCAAGCATTCGGCCGCTAATGACTCTGCCGCGCTGAATTCGGCGCTGCAAAAGGACAGGCAGGCTCAGCTACGGCTGATATTCACCATCATCTAATCCCTACTCCAGAAGAATACAGCTTCCCCTAAGTTGAAAAAGCTGTATATTTAATGTGTAGCGTTACTATTTAGTTTTTTTACGATATTATTCTCATTATTGTTGTTGTTCTTGTTGTGTTCTTAGGGGGCCCCGGTTTTGGGAGTGAAGAACTGACTGCTTTCGAAATCTAGGGAGGTCGACCCAGGGGGAGCCTATGGTGGGGCATGTTGCTAGTTTAGAATTGGCGTATTGGTCAATTCTAATTTAGTATTCCAGAATGTCGGGTTCTGGAAAACATGTTATTCTTAGGGGGCCTTTGTATTAGGGGGTGAGGATTACTGCAGTTTTCTCACTAGATTCTCATGGGGGATAGAGTACAGTCCTTGTCTCAGCTGACGAGCAGGTGAAGCGGGCAGACATGCCCGGGACAAGCTTATGGGAGGGTATTGTTCTGCCTGAAAACCAGCTCGTGTGCTGGGGGGTAGAACGACCAATCACACCCATGTGTCATTGTTGTTGTAGCTCCCGGCACGAAGTTGTGGAAGGACTCATACGTCTCTAGCTTGTCAACTTGTCCGTGTGGCTGCAGCAGAAGCTTGCTGCAATCAGACACTTCAGCTCAGATTGAGGATCCCTGTTTGTGCTGGCCGCAAGGGCAGCAAAGGCAATTCAACCACTTTCAGAAGTCCCTCCCGGGGCCGGTTTGAGGGGACAGCAATGGAAAGCCGGCCATTTTGCGGCTTCACCCATTTTGAGACTGCATGTTCTTTCAGTTGCAACACCATTCAAACATTCAGCACTATGACTGTGCACCCGCGGTTGCGGCTCAAAGCTTTGTGCAGACTCTCATCCTCAAGGACTGAGTTCCGGGTTCGAGCGGAGCATGCGCAGCTTGACAGCCCAAAGACAGGGAGATTCGATTTGGGGACGACCCCTAATTACGTGTTCGGTTTCGGAGGCTTGGTGCAGTTGCAGTGAAGGACTCCAAGCACTGCCCTCATAAATCCATGTGTATAAAATAAATTGTGTTTTTGTATCAAGAGCAATCTCCCCATACTTGTTCAAACGCCATGATGCATGCGTCGAAAAAGCAACTATGCCGGCATGGCAAGGGTGCAAGGTAAATCATACGATGTGCTGACCTGATGCTTGAGGAGTCAGTTGTAGGGTACATTGCTGTGAAAGCTTTTACCTTCTAGTTCTTCGGGATTTGTTCTTCTGTTCGCACAAATTTAAGCTTCGGCTTCTTTTGAGTGACGGTTGCTCACTTTTCCATCAGGGTCATCTTTTTCGCTTAGGTTGCCGGCTTTGGGCGGCGTTGCCTTTTGAACATTCTCCCAACTTCAGAAAGGCCAAGTGGTTCGGTGGCACCCCGTTTCTTTTTTATGTTTTGGTTCCCGACTAGAGGACATACCCCAGTCCAACTGTTCACCATAACGGTCAACTGCAGAAAGGGTTCCCCTTTTCGACCCATCTCACTTGCAACTCGGGGCTTCCGGCCCCACGGCCAGGAGCCTAGCTCCAGCACGCCGGGACTCAGAGGGTTGAGACATTTGGGGCATGTGGATGGACCAAAAAACCGGGCCTTTGGATGAACAAAAGCCGGCAACACTTGGCATGGATGAAACCCTAAACCTACCAGAAACTGGTGGTCCGGAACTTGGCTCAGTGAGTTACCTTTGAGTTTGCCCACCTGTAAGCCCTTGCAACTCGGGTTACTAACCGCTTCGAACACTTCCGTACCATCTAAGTAGGTGTCCTTTGAACGGTCAGTTGGGTTGAAAATGGTGCGTTCAACTGATTTCAGTTCGGTTCGATTCAGGGTGCCACCTGGAAGAATGCATCCGTCCCGCGAAGTATCCACCCGTTGATGTTGACATGTGACGACTTCAAGAGTGTCCAAACGACGTTGGCCCATGCGAAGAGCTTCTTGTGTTGGATGGATTTGCTCTGGGAACCATTGTCCATTTCTCTTTGTTCCAGCAAGTTTCGCTCCAGAAACGACCGACAAAGCAACTTGCCCCTGCCCGCTAGACCCGCGAGGCAACTCAAGCTGAAACCTTTGGCCAATCTAACACGCAGTTAGCTCGCGTACTCCCCAGTCGAGCGGATGTTCTTTCTGTCTCACGTTGGCAGACTAAACATGGATGTTGGAGCGTGGCCATCGTACACATTATCATTGAGGAAACGAAGACCAGGCCCACGCAACAAGTGTTGCGCATCCCAAGTCAGTAGAAGGATTTAGCATACTGGAGCAGCGTCATGTTCCTGCTCGAGCTGTTGCTTCCGAGCCAGACCAACCTGCCAGCCCGAAACTAACCCTGAACCCAGACTGCCCGCTCAGGTGTGCAAAGTCATACCCATATATAATATGACGCCCTATTATGGATTAGGATTAGGGATGTCCAAGTTGAACCGCCCCATACAACAAGATGTTGAAGCCTCCTGCCAAACCCGGGACGCCTCATGTTTGCTTTCTCCCCCTGATCCCGGATACAGTGTCTTCCAAAGTGGCAAAACGTTTTGGATTCCGCCATTTCAGCCTAGCTTTTGCCCCCATCAGTCCATCCCTGATAGCGCATTTGTGGTCCAAAGTCCACCCCCCACCCCCCCCCGATCCCGGATTTTGGTCTTCCAAAATGGCAAAGCGGTTTGGGTTGAGCCCAGGCTGGTGGCAAAACGGTTCGAGTGCCCAGGTTTGGCATCATGACCAACTCCTCCATCCGCTGCTTCCAGAACTCCTCCACCACTCCACGCACTGGCAGCGACCACACCGGTGCCTTCGGATGCCATCCGAATGCCGTGCTTTGGGCGTCGTCGCGATGCGGTGAGCAACTCTCGCGTTTTGAGACATGTTGGTAGCTGTGTCATGAAATTCATAAACTCACCCAGTTGCAAGGAGAGCGCGTGACTGTGGGGAGGAGTCTCCCAATTCCGACCGTCAGTTGGGAGCACAGCGAATGCAGTAGCCTTCCTCCAGGTGTGTTCATGCAGGTTCCCCAGACAAGGGACCATCGGTTGAGGAGTTCTCGACTTTGCCTTTGACAGCCCTATCACATGAGAGGGACGCTGTTCCACATGTTGAAGCTTCTTTCTTTTCAAGGGCTCGGTGTCCAAAACTCATTGGGTGGGGGGGGGGGCGGGGGGGTTCTTGATACACCACTTGTTTTTTTTGGCTCGGGGGGTTGTTGGTTGGGAAAACCCCTCGAATCTATAGATGAGTCGAATCGGTTTTCCCCCAGCGGGTGGCCAGGGGGCCAAGGGACCAGCGTTCAGTGCGCTGGGCCCACCCATTGTATTTGTCCAGTTCGGATGGGCCCTGATCTGCTGATGCTGGTACTTGCGAAGAAGTGGAGTGAAGGGCAGGCCCATGACACAATCCTGAGTCGCAATCTGGTCTCCAATCATGTAAATTCGCCAATGGAAAGGAAGGTATACTCCATCCCGGCACCCCTGCAAGGAAGGTTGGAAGAAGGAGATGCCACGAAGCAAGTCCCGACAATCCAATTCCAGAACAAACAATGCCTCTGCCGCGGCATTTATCAAGGTTACACGATAAAGCCAGCCCAGGGCCCCCCCCCCATTTTGCATCCAGAGCCCACCCCCCCCAATACAAAGGAATTTAACATAACTTGAGGGGCCCACACCCCTTGCACATCAACCGCATCTTTTTTTTTAAGGTCTGGACTTTCAAGACATGCTCATGACCGAAGCGTGTATCTGCCATCAGCTCCAGGTGCCGGAAATGCAGCGCGAGCAGCAGCTGCTGCAGCAGCAGTGCGGGGCCTCAGTTGGTTGCTACGGCCAGTGCGTTGCTTCCTGCCCTTTCCTCTTGGGTTGGTTAAACTCCTTCCTTTCCTTTCCTTTCCGTTTCCCTTCCCTTCCCTTCCCTTTCCTTTCCTTTCCTTTCCTTTCCTTTTGGGTGTTACCGCATTGTCATGCTTTTGTTTGGGTGAGGTTCCCTTGACAATCGACCACCTTTTGATTGGTGTACTCGAAAGCGAAAGCCCGAGCCGTGCTCTTGGGAAGATCTAGGCGGCGTAGTTTGGAGAAGAACGTGTATTCACCTAACATTGATACGGGGAGCGCAGTATTCAGGGAAGTCTGAGACGGAGGTCATAGTTTGTTTCTCTCCAATATGTATGTATATATAATGCACATTCCCAGGTCATAAAGACATTTCGCGAGACACTAGAATGTTGGGCAGCGCAAGCCCCAGTTTCTAA